CTGTGTTAAATAATTTTAGTTTGTAAGACCAGAGAAGTTTTAAGGCCTCACAGAAATACGTATGAGAGAAAATTAAAAATTTAGTGATTCTATCAAACATGAGTAGAATTCTAATAATTATTAGGTTTATTCTTGCAAAATTACTTTCCGTCGGTGTATTATGCATAATTAACAAGCCTTTTAATAATACGTTTTTGAAAGAATTGTAACACATTTTATTGAAGGTGTGTTGAGGATACATAGTAATAGAACCCCTTAGAGCTTCTTTTAATCTGTGGTTAGTTATTGAGCCAGCTTCCGAAAATAGCGTCCATTTAGTTATCCAGGAAATAAAGAAGGCGAAAAATTATATTTCCCTGATTATGACGTTCCTTTAATTATTTTCTCATAAAACACGTGTAAGAAATAAAATTTCGCAAAAATTAGGGCTTAATAAATAGACACGTAAATTAATACACGTGTAGTTAAAAGGAAATAAATACATGAATGAGGCAGAAACATTGAGCAACGGACTTAATAAGAACTTGGTGAAATATTCTGTTACTGTTAAATGAAATTTAAAATTTAAGTTAGTATTGCACCAAATTTTATTCATAGGACAAGTAATTTCTATTTTCAGCGATTGTAAAACCAAGCTAAGATCTTATTTTTACTCGACGTTTATAACATTATTCGCTAAGATGCCATTGCTTATAAAGGTATGCAATTCGTGTGCTTCCGACTATGACTGGACCGTAGTGTGTACACCAGAGAAGGTGGCACGTCTTTAATCGGTGGGTCGGAAATTGATTTCTTGCAGAAATTTTATGATATATTTCAAATCTTTACAGCTACGCAAAACGAACATCGTAAGGAATAAGCCTATTGAACGATGAAAGTTCTGACCACTTGAAGGGTCTGAAAAACTTTTTATCGCTATCTGAATATTAGGCCTAGTAATACTAAGTGAATACGTAATTAGGCTCTCACAATATCTAACAGCAAATTCCTACTTTTGTGAAATAAATTTCACTGTTTACGTGTTTAATAAGAATCGTAAATATTTCGCTAGCAGGACTCATTTAAAAAATAACTATTATTAATTGTGTTATTAAAAATACCAACAATTTATTTCACCTAAGAACTACACAGTCAAACTTTACTGATGTAGTTACGAAGACGTTCGAAGGAAATTTAGCATAGGACTATTTGTGCATGTATGTAAGAACATGTGTTTAAAGATTTACGTGTCTTAATACACGACATTACAGAATAATGAATGTATAATGGTGCTTTGTGCTCACAAATCAGTGAAAGCTTATCATCTGGGCCCGGACTGCAACTTGTTCGAAGATACGCCTTCCGTCCAGTATTTTACACTAGTCTAACCAATCAAGGACTCTACTCGAGTGTCCTGGATTTAGTATCATCGCGCTTGATGTGTCTTCACTGATTTATAAAGTTGTGGTCACAATGTACATCACATGTGCTACATAATTTATTTTATAAAATAAATAACTAATGTTGTGAATGACACCGATAAAATACTCAGCCACTTCTCCGTGTGTTTGCAGTTGATACCTTCAGAAGCATCGTCTCCAGGACGACAGATTTCTGGTCTTCCGCTGATGCGAATTCTGGATGGAAGAAATCTTCACTGAAATTAGAAGGAATATGTTTAATGACAGATCTGGGAAATACAGAAGTAAGTTATTTATAAATCCACCATGGTCTCAAAAATATAAAAAATAATCTTCGCAAGTGATGACAGATCTGGAAAATGCAGAAGTAAGTTATTTATAAACCCACCATGGTCTAAAAAATATAAAAAATAATCTTCGCAAGTAATGTAGAAGTAACAACTGTGTTAGTACCATAATGTAAAACATTTCTATTACTCTTTTCTACTAATACTACTAACTTTTCAATACGATTAATTAATTACAGAGAAGCATTAACAATTGTACAGGATAAGAAATAATAAACTAAAATCTAAAAATTACTTAAAAAACAATAATTAAATTAAGAAACAAATAAAAAAATACAGATGTAAAATATGAGATTTACAGAGAATATTTCAAGTAAATTCGTTTCAACCAAATAATATAAGTGCTTGATAAGAATATGTGAAGTATCAAAGTTAGTGAACGAATTCGTGCATGTGTGTATATCTCGGAGACAGTATGAAGAGAAAACCATAATATAAGAATAGTTAATAAATTTAAAATGTCACAAAATTTAAATAACCAGTATTAGAAGTGTTAGTGATAATAAAAGTAGCCTGGCAGTCGAAACACTGAAAAGAAGAGTAGTCAAATGATCAATTGCAAATAAAATAATTCGAATAGATGGTTTAAATTTTTTTATAAAATATTGTAGAACTTTTGTTAAACTTAAGAATTTCTGTCGTAGGCCAAAAAACTTGGTTTATATGCAGTAGAACGGAATTGTGACATTCCAATATCAAAGCTGAAAGGATTTGAATCCGAGTTATTAAGAATCTTTGTGGAAATGAAATGTAAATGATCAACGCTCAAGAAAACACGAGGCTTCACAATCAAATTTATTTTTAGGTTCTATGCGAGGGGATTTGAGGACAAGGTACCGAGGAGACTATTTTGACTTAAGAGGGATGAAGTGAAGGGAGACTGGAGAAAACTGTGTAAAGAACAGCTTGACAGTTTACTCTTTCGGTAATTATTGAGACGACAAAATCAAGGAGGATGAGATGGTAAGGGTACTTAGGGCGAATGGGACAATGACAAATGTATAAAACATTTTGGTTAGAAAGAAAGAAACCACCCGGAAAACCTAGACATAAATGTGAGGATAATATTAAAAATACTCTTGGGGAAATGGAGTTTACATCTATAGATATGGTTCATCTGGCCCACTATAATAACCGGGTGACAGGCTTTTATGACCACGAAAATGGGCCTTTGAATTTTACAGGAAAAGTGCAATTCTTCATCATTCATTCATAAATCGGGTTCTCTATATAGGAGACTGCCCGTAGAACCGGGTAATTTCTTGACTAGCTGAGCCTACTCTTTGTTTCTTGAGAAGGACCCCGCCCAGTGGAGTTACTTCGGTGTGGACAAGGAAGTGGTTAAATGTTCCGTGTGAAGGGCTCGGTAGTTTTAGTCACGAAAGTTGCAGTAGATAACTAGAATTTTTCGTGAAGACGTTCGTTGTGCAGAATCCAGATTTACGAGACAGGAGGGGAGATAATGTTCATATAGAGTTAACTTAGTTTTAATATAATACATGAGCTGATATGAAGGATTAGGTAACACAAGGTTTGTACGCCAGAACATGTTCTAGAACAAGCTCCAGTCGGAAACAATGGCTGTCATTCATTATACACATCCCTATGGAAGCAAGATACGACCGACTTCATTGTTATGATTTTCCTTAGGCATAATCTACACTTTTTACAAAGAGGGAAGTTCATATCCATTTGCCCTTCTGTTCTACTTCAGTCTGTACTAAAGTCTGTCGGCTAACCGTAGAAAAAGTTAGAGAAGGACGAATTAAGAAAATAAAAATGTTTCGTCATACCAAAAACTACCTCACACATTCTTTATTAGATTTATTAACGATCTAAAATTTAAATAACATTAATATTGTAACTATTTTTCTTTATTATTTCGATATTATTGTATGTATTATCAGTGTTTGCCTGTTACTGGCTTCTTGCTGTTGGCAAACACTTAAATAAATGAGAAAGATTTAAATGTATATATTAGTGTGCTGGATCAAAAGCCAGATAGCCTATTAAAGATACAGCACGTAAATAAATAAATACAAATAATACCTTCTCTCCTCGATTTTAAGACACTAACAGTAACAGGCTTAATTTACTAACAGATTTTTAGGGAAAAGAACACGCTACATTGATTCATAAACATTTATAAAGTGAAAAAGTGTCATAAATTTATAAAAAAGGAATAACAACAATATCATGAAATTTGGGACCTATATTAATCTTAACTTGCTCACAATACACTTCCCAGTGAAATATGAAGGCTGGGGGAAAAATGCAAGAAACCTGTTTACTTGATTGTAAACGTTACTACAAGTAGATGAGTTAAACATTTCGTGGATTTTTATTCGCTAAATATTTACACAGAAACTTACATTTTAAGCTTGTGCTTGTTTAGCCTATTACAGACCTATTGCCCATTTTTATCTAAAGACGTCACACATAGTTTTACCAGTTTACTGTTTTTCAGGGTCAGCCTTCCTGAATACCTTTCACATCTGCATGGAACAAAATAACTGTGACCCTTATTCCATTCATTTACAATACTGTGAATTGGAAATGTATAAAAAATTTTAATCGATCAAAAGTTTTGTATTGTTTTTCATCATTGCGTTTATTATCGTAATTTTTTTATTTTATAGCTTAAATTAAGATTTGCAAAATATTTGTTCTGCCAGCTCAATATGTAATCTTAAAAGTTTATGGTCTACCATTTTATTAAAAATTTCATTAATACGTAAGTATTTTGCCGGAGCGTATATTAGAAATTGTCACTAATTTCTTCCAATTATCTGCTGAGTAGTACATTATTGTTGAAGAAGACAGATTGGCGGTGCCCGAATTTATAACTTGTGTTGGGCAAGGCCGTGGGCTAGGCAACACGGAGTTTTCCTCCGTGGCATCCCAACAATTACTTCATTCACACACAGAAGAAGGCAATGTCAAACCACTTCTGGATCATCTGCCAAGAACGTATATGAACAGGTCCCAGTCCGAGAAAAGGATGGAAGGATCCTGTTCATATGGACCTGTCGTCAGACAGAACACTAAATAATAATAATTAGCCTATAATATATTGCTAATTAAAACTGATTACTGTAAACCAAAAACTAATGTAATTACGCAATAAATACTTTGACATTCATTCTGCATTCGTTTCAGGGAAGTGAAATAGGGGAAAAGAAGCTTACGTTTCGTGGGGCATGTGATACTTCTTCAGGAAACCACTTGCAATTTGACATAAAAATAATATATCGGAGATGGAGCGTAAAATTAAAAGTGCCGCGACTTATCGAAATGTATGAGACAGTGTGGCAGAATAAAAACTTAAAGTGTGAAATTTTATATTATGAGGTTTTTAAGCAACTAACTCGACAATCTATGTAATTTTATATGTACGAAACCATTATTTTATTATTACTTAGTGTGGATATGGGAATTTGGTTTAGTCACTTTAAGAGAATAACACAAACTGCGGGTACTAAGGAGAACATTTGGACCCATGAACGCAAAAATGATTGAGAAAATTTCATTATGAGCAGCGTCTTCATTTGAAGTCATCACGAAACATAATTAGTGTAATAAAACCTAAGGGGACAAGGCGGAGTGTAAATATTTACCTTATTTTCACATGATTGTGTAGTAGCGGACTTCATTGAGTACAGTAATAAACCTGAGTGTTTCTACAACGATTGGAATATTTTGACCAGCTGGGCCAACATTAGCTTCTCAAGAAGTATTCTGCTTTATGCAAGTTAATCGTGCCAAGAAAGTATTAGTCTAATGTGAGTCGAAATATTAACTTGAGAAACAAAGTTGTTTTCTTCAAAAATCATATAGACTGTTTAGATAAATGAACAATGAATTCCAAAATCTCTAGACAGCAGTAAAAGTATATGAATAAAAACATTTAAATAATTCAAGGCACCTTTGATTTTAGGTTAGCAAATTTTATATTTTAAGAAACACTACACGAAGAAGGCAATTCAAACAAAATTGCATTTTTGGAAATTAGATATTTTGAATTCTGAAACGGTATATCGCATAAATCCTGAAAAATTGTAAGACACGAAACTTACACTTATTGAATATAGAGACATGTTACGCCACTATGCTGCATCAGCTAGACTGGGACAAAATGAGATGATTTAGGCAATTTCTCGATGATCGTGTAGTGTAAAATCTGTAAAAAGAGAGTAACAGATTAATTAACTCCTTCGTTAAATTGTTCTGACAACTCTGCTTTAATTAATTACTGATCTGAAACAGAAAAGTGTGAGGTCTAATTATTTTTCGAATATGCGTTTCATATTGAAAGCTGACAGGAAAGCAGATTTATTCTACTCAAGTCAGGAGATTTGTAGATTCATATTACGAATTATATGAAGTTCATTACTGCTTAAATACTAACAGAGAATGTAAGGTAATTGAGGCATGTCGAAGTGCTATTACGTTACAACTAAATGTTACGTACAAAATATGAGTTTCTTTTAACTTATAATAAGGAGAAAACAAGCAACAGTGTCTCCGTTTTTATTGATATATATAAAGAAACCTTCATCATTTACAATAACCAAGACTGTGTTTTCGTCTTTACGCAAGAAAGCATCAGATTATTATACTGTGCCAGATGTATGCAATTGGCGCACTCGTACACCAGATTTTTAAAGATTCATTTAAAACCTTTCTTCCCACTTACACTCAGGTATCTTAAGCGGACTGACTAGAAAGAGCATTATATATAATTTCCCATGCATTACACATGTCCTGCTTGTCCCAACTTAATTGAGTTTATTATCCTAACAATATTAAGTAAAGAATACACTTCCTTAAGTTCATTTAATTACGTAATTTATTGTTCCTTCTGCTGTCTTCTGTGTGAATAATCTTCCATTAAGGTAACATCCCCAGCTTCCCATTGTACATCTTGACTTCAAGTGTGTTCTTATGTGATAAAAATTTCAATTGAGCAGGTGTTACTTAAAATTATTTGGTTTCCCCTGCTAATAATCATTCCCCTATTGCTCCGTACTCAAATATCACAGCCCCACGAGGTGTCCGACAGCCGTGACCAAACAGTACATTGTTATATTTTCGGTATTAAATTTGGGGCCTTATTTATGATCCGAAATTTGGCTGGTCTTGAAGTAAAAGCAGATAAGGATTTAAGGTTTTCACGGCGGTGAGTCCGAAGATGGATGTCTTTTGCGTTGTAGCACCGTGTAGTCTGTTAGAAGTTTACAAACGTTTCAGAGGTCCTTTCTGCCTCCATCATCAGGACCATGATTCATCGCTATCTAAGGGCAGCTTAATTTTAGCCCGACAGTTATTAAATTATCTCACAAAATTATCTTTTAGGTTACAGGTCTGTTCAATATTAATTTATTTTTTGTTCTGCACGAAATTTATCTGAGTAATTTAATAGTTTGAATAAAAAACATATTTGATGCTGAAGAAAACTGTTGACAAACCGAGAAGCAGTGGTGCCAACAGACACACCAAAATTGATAGAGATATGGGAATACAAGAAGCTGTTACCTGAAAAGGCATGGAGATAGTCCCACATTGTATGCACGTAATTAAGCAGGTGTAGGCCTAAGATTATTCTTCCAGTGCGACTGTCACTGGCTCAGTTTGTTTTAAAAAATAAAACATTAATTAAACAATATCTATCATCTCCGGACCCCGGAGTAGACTGGTAGTTTTTTTTGTCTCTAAATTTCATCCACCTTCATAGTTCCATCGCTCTAACGTCATTCATGATTCAGACCTGGACAATGGTCACGCCCCTCCAGGCCAAAATGTTGTCATCTGATGTCATATTTGAGAGAAAGGTTTCTATGCGAAATTCTCGAAATGGCGTCTATATAATCCAGGATGTTATGAATATGTCAGTTATTTTTCGTTTACTGGTATCGTTACTAATTTTGAGGTGACTGGATGATTTTGATTATTGATAATTTATAATTACGTAGTTAAACTTAAAATTTATCATGAATGATGTTGTTATTTCAGACATTACACTAACATATTGACTGGCATTAACCGAATAAAAACAGCAACAACAATAATTATTAATTATGATTAAGGAATTTTTGTTTACAAAAATGTTGCTTAGTTTGTGAAATTGTTGCTTTATAGTGTACAGAAATCATTCTATATTTTTAAGAGTATATAGCATACTTAAACTGAAGAAATTTACTATTTTTGTTTATGTAATTCATCATACGTTCTGAAATATTTATCATATTTAGTGTTCCTTCTTGAAAACTCTACTACAGAGATACGAAAACATCTCAATCACCTATTTTAGGTTCAAACACATCTAACTGAGCAATTTTAATTAAAATTATTATAAATAGTGTAAGACTGGATGTCAACACATCTCCCGGTCATCAGTAACGTTAACATGACTGTAACACCAACTTGTAAGGTGGATACTTGAATAGTACTATACAGAAAATATTCTCGAATTTATTGCTTTGTAAAGTGCATCTGATATAGATTATCAGAGAATAATCTCCATTTGGAAGTTTCTGTTTGTAATGTTCTGTTGCTTAAGCAGTTTTAAAAAATAAATATAATAGTTATTATATGATATTATTGTAATAAAGCACGTGTTTGTAAGCAAAAAACTTAAAAAATATTCTAAGACGTTATTTGCTATGGTGGATGACGTATTAACAAAAAATGTTACGTGCCGTTAATCTAAGCCTATTCTTAATGTTAGTTTTAAATAAGCATAGTAAGGTAGAGAATGTACACAAAATTATGTAGTCATTCTCTGCCATCTGAAGTTGGTATATGACAAATAAACAAACACATCATATTTTATGTAATCCTGTTTCATAATATGCATTACATATTATATGAGAAAAATGTATTTAAAGACTATTGCCCTGGTGTTATTCATAAGTCACTAATATTATTTTTTAATTTTACTAACCTTCAAGACACTCTTCATCTTCCTTTTGAGACTTACATTACGCCCGTTAAAAGTTTAACAGTAATTTTAATTAATGACATGTGTTATGACGCTGTTTTAATATAACCTACAATGTTTCTGCTTTTCTCTTCACTGTTATAAATTGCGGCAACATTATGACTTCTTATAGAAATAAAAATAGCAGGCCAAAAATTGATGAATTAATTGTGTTAATATGAAGATACTGTAAGCCTCTGAAATCGAAATAAGCTGGCTTATGAAACGTTATATAACATCATATATGCCCACATACTCAGGAATCAAATACCGCTCAAATCATGTCCTATACTACCCTGTGCTTCGAAGACTTATATACATGGGCTAAAAGTAATGTTTTCATAGGACGAGAAGAATGAATTTGTTTCGCTCTCATTGAGTGACTCAAATATTTGAGACATTTACAAGAAAATTTTTATTATTCTACTACGTTTATAATCCCACTGCACACATATGTTCCCAGTTACTTGTATGACATTTATTGTGTACCAACGTACTAGGCCTAAATTAATTTTCTTACAAACCGCGTGGTTGAAGAATAACTCAGCAATTTCAAAAGTTTCACATTCTCGAAATATTTTTGGAAGCATGCCTCCAAACAGCCAAAGAATTTTGTTCGTCCGACATTTTAAGCAGAATCTAAATGACATACCTGACCAAGCTTTCGCCAAGTCTAAATCTTTAGGTGCAATTCTACCAAGAGCTACATATGACCACGCCTGCCCGGTAATATTTTAGGCCTACATTAACGACGTTAGAACTCAAAATAAAGACGTTATGAATAACAGTATCTACTGAGGATGACCACGCCTGTCCGGTAATATTTTAGGCCTACATAAACGACGTTAGAACTCAAAATAAGGACGTTATGAATAACAGTATCTACTGAGACGGTGTTGTCTTCTGCGCAATGAGGAACTACGCGTAAGACCACTTCCTCTAAGAGAACAATGGTGATTATTGTATCTCTTTATCAACTGGATATTCCTCTAAAGAAAAAAGAACTAGACCAGAAAGGAGCTCTGCCTACTAAATCAGAGTACAAGGAAATATTCAAATGAAGAAGCAGGAGCCGTAGTCAGCGAGGGGAGCTGGCACAAGGACATATGCCTCAAAGTTCCTGGAATTTTCGTGAGTGAAATGTCTTGCAAAAACAGTCTTTAACAAGACATTTATCAAGAAAGGTGTTTGTAACAAATCAGTTAACTGTTGAACAAGAAGCTCTAAAATCTCCAGAAACTCAATGTCCAATGACTGGATTAATTGTTCTTAGTTTACGTCTGGATTCTGTTTACAATTTTCCTAATACCTGACACACAAGCACGTGGCAACAAAACGCACGGCTTTGGATGTACTGGGTACGTTACTGAAAGGGGTTAAATTATATGTTTTATTAAAAGCTATGTATTACGGATTTAAGTTGTAGAGCAACTGCGTATTCAATTTAAAAAAGAACTTTTCGAACATCTTTTATATCGCACAGACATCATTGTAGGATCGTTTTCTTCAATAGTGTTAATGTAACAGCTCTTAGAGTTGCAAAGCGGGTGGTGCTGATAAAATGGAGTAATGAAGTACAGTTGAAGAATGTTGTGATGTTTAAACTAAGTTAAAAAATCTGATGCACGCACGCACACACATTCGCAAACACACCCATTTTTTTTTATAACCTGGAAATTACCTTGTTTAGCTCAAGACGTGTCAAACAAAATTTGTAGTTCTGAGTGTGTAACAGGATATTCCATTCTTATTTTGCGGTGATATATCAGAATATTTTGCTAATTATCGATTAGAACGAGTTCGAAATGTTTACAGTGATTGAGAATAAGGAATTAAGAGTGATAAAGACCTTTCCTATGTTGCTATTCTGGTATTTTCTTGGCGAAATTGTGGAAAAGTGCGACTTGTCTCTTTCCAGGGGTTAGGCTCAGGGATATCAACGACACGATGTACCGATAACCATTATATTACAGCTTTTAAAAGAAGGTAAGTGGTGTGAAAAACGTTTGAAATTTGAAACTGAACAGCCAAACATTCTGACAAATTACTTTATCGTTCAGCAGTCATTCAAGAATTTTAACTTTTTTATAGTTACCAAAACTCCTAATGATTTAATTTTAAAATAATATTTTGCCATTTAGTTTACACAATGATAAAAATCTGTCAGTCTTTTTTAAGAATAAACAATGCTAGGAGATATA